GGGAAAGAAAACATCTATGAAACAATACTGATTGATCTTTTATTTTTCTTTCCTGTTTTCCTTTTTTTTTTCTATTTGCAGTTACAGCAACCTCAGCAGACCCTTTTAACACAGGTTAGTTTGATGTTACTTTATTTGATATCTGAATGAAGAGTAGACCAAAGTTTCATTTCCTATTCTAGTTTTACTTTCAGAGTTTAAAGGTGAATATTTGTGGATTCACACAATAGTTTAGTAGTGATATAATGTTAAATAAAGACAGAAAGCTTTATTTTTTCTTTTATGGGTTTTGATTGCAGATCCAGCTGTGATCTAGTTTGAATAAATATGAGGTCTTATTTTAAACTTAATACTGATTTTGGTCCTTACATTTTCTGTGTACTAATATTTTAAGGAAAATTTTGTACATGTTATATATCTTTTTTAGCTTGACCTTAGGAGGTGAAGTTATTGTGTTAAATAATCAGCTTAATTTTTTAACAACATGGAAAAATTTTTGAAATGTAGTGTGTGTGTGTTTATGTGTTTTACAATCCTTTAAAAGTGTAAACAACCATCCTTGGCTTATATGCTACACAAAATTAATAAACTATGGGCTGAATTTGGTCCATAGACCATGGTTCACTGACCTCTGGTATGTACTTGAGTGAAATACTATCTAACTGTTACAAAACAAGCAGAATCTCTTAATAATAACTGGTGACAGTGATTGCCTCATGGTTAGGGAATTGGGTAGGTGAGGAACAGGAGTAAAATGGAAGCTTTTTACTGTATAATCTTTCATACCATTTTAGTCTTGAATCTGTTAGTTATTTTTTAAAATTAAAATATACTTCAAATGAGAAATCAAACTCACTTTCTGTTATTAAAGAACTAAAATTGACTAGCAACTATTTCATATTTTCAATCTCCAATAGAATTTCCAAAATAAGTAGAAAGCTGTAAAAGTTTTCTTAGAATAGCATTTCCCAGAGTGTGCCCATAAACCACTCCACATGTGTTAAGATGTTAAATTTCATGTGAAAATAATTTTGTGTTCATAGTTTAAGAAATACTAAGTTTCTTTACAATATATAGGACTTTCTTTTTTTTTAAAACAAATGTGGAACTTCGAGATTTGCTTTCTTGGGCAGATATAAAACAAATTCCATGCTTTGATTTGAAAAATCAGATGATCTTTTCTATTAAATGATCTTATTTCTATTTATATACAGAAATTTTAATCAATATATTGTTATCCAAATTTGATTGTGCCAGAAAAGACCAATGAAAGTGTTAACATTTCAATTTTTTCCCCAGTTTTATTGAGATATAATTGATATATAGCATTGTATTAGTTTAAATACACAACATAATGATTTGATATATGTGTGTATTGTATAATGATCATTACCACAGTAAATTTAGTTAACATACATCACCTCACAGCTATAAATTTTTTTTCTTCTGATGAGAACTTAAGATCTCTTTTAGCAATTTTTAAATATACGATATAGTATTAACTATAGTCATCATGCTGTAAGTAAGACTGCAGGACTTACCTTATATAACCGGACCTTCATAGTTTTTGACCACCTGCTCCCATTTCCCCCACGCCCAGCCCCTGATCACCTTGCTCCTCTTACAGCCACCATTCTGTTTTTTCTTTTGAGTTCTTTGGAGTTTTTTAGATTCCACATTTAAGTGAGATCATACATATTTGTCTTTGTCTGTCTGACTTACTTCACTTAATATATAGAACTTTCCTGAGTATTATATTGCTATGGATTTTGAATTTCTAAGAGGGGGCTAAAATATATGTGTTCTTTAAAGTCATTATACTTCAGTATCTTCTTTCTGCAACATTCTGTGAAAACGTTCATCTAAGGAAACCTGATGAAATAAATCAAAAATAATATAATTTTTAGACTTGATTCTCATGTTCAAGGTATACATGTGTATTTTCTAACCCAAAATATATTATTTTCAGCATTTTTAGTTTAAGTAGTCATTATTAATTTCTACCTTACTTTGATGTTGATTTTGTTTTATAGCCAGCTGTTGCACTGCCTACAAGCCTTAGTCTGTCTACTCCTCAGCCTGCAGCACAGATAACTGTATCATATCCAACACCAAGGTCCAGTCAGCAACAAACCCAACCTCAGAAACAGCGTGTTTTTACAGGCGTGGTTACAAAACTACACGATACATTTGGATTCGTGGATGAAGATGTATTCTTTCAACTTAGGTAAACTACATTAGATGTTGGCAGATACTCCTTGGATTTAATATTAAGTATATGGTGGCATAATCATTCAGCTTGTGTTATATTTGTACCTGTGACTTTTTTTGATGGAGAATGTGACTGAAGATATCGTCTGATTTTTTTTTTTTTTAACAACCTGGTTAAGGTGAATTCTTTATAAATAAATGTTTTATAGGAGTGAGTTATCATTTCTTAACTTTTCACGGGCAGACATACAGTGAGATTAGGGATTGAAATAGTCATATGCCTTTTAAAATTTAATCTTTTTGACATATCTAATGACTACATACTAAAAACATTTAATTGAAATAGTAAAAGGATTGAATGATGAATTAACATATTCAAAATAGCAGTTTGTTAGTGTCCTGGTGGTTGCAGGAAATATGAATCTCAGATATTTCAAATATATTTCTAATGAACTTCCTTAGAAGTACTTTATTTGGGAAATTAAGTTTAATTACTGTATAAGATTTTTCTGTAAGTGGGTCTCCTGTTTTTCATTTTATCTGCATTTCTTTCATTTTCCAAAGTCCAAAGAAAATATTACTTTTAGGTTATAAAAGTTAAAAAGTTCTGTAGAAGGAGGGACACAATATTAGGATAAAATGGAGTGGAAAATTCTTCCACTTCAAACCTCATATTTATAGAGAGGGTGAAACAGTTCTTAACTAAAATAAGTCTAGGAGGTATATCAGCTTTTTAAAAGAGATTTTTAGACTTCTAAATCAGATAAAGTTTATTTTTAAATACCAAGTATATAAATCTTTTTTGGATTAATGTCTTTCGATTGTATATATATTTAACTTAATTTTTTTTTCCAGTGCCGTCAAAGGGAAAACCCCCCAAGTGGGTGACAGGGTATTAGTTGAAGCTACGTATAATCCTAATATGCCTTTTAAGTGGAATGCACAAAGAATTCAAACACTACCAAATCAGGTATATAAAATATTGAGTCGGGTATTATAGAAACTTGGTAACTGACTCTTCCAATTTACAAAGATCTTTTTAAAATGTTATTTCTTTATTTTTGTTAAGAATCAGTCCCAAACCCAACCTTTACTGAAGACTCCTCCTGCTGTACTTCAGCCAATTGCACCACAGACAACATTTGGTGTTCAGGCTCAGCCTCAGCCCCAGTCACTGCTACAGGCACAGATTTCAGCAGCTTCTATTACACCACTGTTGCAGACTCAGCCGCAGCCTTTATTACAGCAGCCACAGCAGAAAGGTATTACGTAAAGTTTATCTTTGCTTTTTATGTTTCAGACTAATACATAACTCTTTAGTTGTTAAAATAATGTTGGTATGCCTTTAATTACATAAAAGGCAGGACTTCTAGAATATTTGAAAGGAAGGTTAAATATTTTATGTAGACCACTTCTACTTCTATAGCTATTTGGAAAATAGATTTTTATTTTATTGCTCTTATTCAAAGACATGTTCTTTGTGAACTTAAACATTAAAACTATTATCTATCCTCTGTCCTATTGGTATCTTGTCTATAATGGAAGAAAATGTTTTTGAGACATTTCTTATAAATAAAACATGTAGAGTCTGGTGGTAGTACTTTATTCATTGAGCCATTGTGCATCTAATAAATGATCTGTGTTGTAAATATATTTTTACAAATTGATCATTTGAAACTGGACATTTTCTCACTGAAACAATGTTAAAAATGATAGCCTCGTCTTAAAAGAAGACTACTTGATTGGTGTTTTTTAAAAAAAATGTAACTGGCATTTTCTCTTTTATTGTAAATAGTGACACACTTAGGGCAAAGTGATAAAACATTGCAGTTTAACACCTGTGTAATCGCGACTTGGGTGAAAAACATTACTGGTTAACTCTATTCTTTTTTAATAGTTTTACCTTCTAAATATGCACCATCATAATATAGGTTAGCTTTATTTTTGAATTTTATGTGATGTGTGATTCCATTTATATAATCTTTTGTATAAGACTTCTTTTGTTCAATGAGGTTTTAAAGTTTTTTGTACAATTTCATGTGGCTCTAGTTTCTTCATTTTCACTATTGTATAATATTCCATTGTATGAATATTGTACAGTTTATCCGTCTTCGGTAAACGTTTGGATTGTTTCTAGTTTCTGAAAATGCTGCTATGAATGTTCTTGTATATGTTTCTGGGGCAATGTACATAGGTTTTCCTAGGGCATATATATCTTCTGGTGGAATTACAGGGCCTGAAGATTTGTGTATCTTAAACTTACTAGGCAATGCCTGACTTTCCAGGCTACATGGTTCTTTTTTTCCTTTTTTTTCCTAAGAGGCTTTGCTTTCCAGTTGTGAATTGGGACTTGAATACTGTCTAAGAAAAGATGTGGCTTCTGTGGCAGGGTTCAGGGAAGCAGTATTTCTGGTGGTGATGTGTTTTCCCATAAGCTTGGTAGATGGACAGAAGCAATGAGAGTAGGGTAGTAGAAATAAGAGAGAAAGAGGTGTGTTAGGATGAGGGATCAATAGAGTTGGTGTGCTAAAGTTCATATGGCAGAGGGGTAGGGAAATCTCCATTGGCAACTAGGATTCTTTCAGCAATACCAGCCCATTAATCTGGTATAGTATTACTTAAAATAAGAAATATTCCTAAATTAGTTGTTTTTTTTACCCCCAAATTCTTATGAAAATTTTCGGGTGTATAAAAATATTCAACAGCATAACGATCACTTGTATACTTAAAACTTTGAACAGTTAATATTTTGCCAATGTGTTTTGCCAGCATATACTAACAAATATACACACCATTGGCTTAATCATTCAAAGTAATTACCAGACATTATGACATTTTGCCCCTGTAAACTTAAGCATGTCCTTCCAAAAGAGACTGTTTTCCTTTATTAGCACAATCTTATCACATCTAAGAAAAAGCATTTAAATACCCTATTTGTATTTAGATCTCTCCACTTGTCTTCTAGATGTCCTTTTTTTTTTTTCTTCGATGTGAGGCAACCCTTGGTTGACCTCACAGATTGCAAGGACCTTGTCAACTGACAAGGTCCCTTACTTATTTTTTTACACCTAAAGCGCCTGGTCTTCCTAGGTGGTCTCCCATCCAAGTACTAACCAGGCCCAACCCTGTTTAGCTCCCAAGATCAGTAGATGTATTTTAAGGTTGTTTTCTGTATCCTAGACAGAAAGCTAAGTTCATGCATTATATTGGGTTAAGTCTTTTTAGTCTTCTTAATTCTAGAATAGCTTCCCACTTTGTCTCATTACCTTGACTTTAAGAAATTGAGCTAGTTGACGTGTAGATTCTTTTGGAATGTTGTGGATTTGTCTTGATTCCTTGCAATGTTTTACCTTGTTCCTCTATCTGCCATATAAACTATAAACTCTAGGATAACATATTATAGGTGTTTTGTAATTCATATTGCATCATAGGAGGCATATGTTAGATTCTTCCACTATTATTGACACTAAATTTGCTTACTTGGTCAAAGTGGTAGCCATAAGTTTTTCTGTTATAAGAGGTTCTTTTTCTCTGTATAGATACTCTCTGGATGGTACTTTGGCATCCTTTGAGTATCTTGTGGACGAAAAATGGGCCACTTACTAAATGTGCCAAGCTCAGGGGAGGCCTGCATGGTGGGCCCTACAAACTCAGAGACTGAAAGTAACCACGGATAGGATGATCTGAACATAAAAATTCCTAACTGAAAGCTAGTCATGGTGGCCAGTCATGTTCTGGATCTGTAGTTCCTTGACAAAGGTCAATCTTTATTTTAAGTAAGCCTGTCTTATTGTCTTTGCATTTAAAATAACATACTCTTGGAATGTCAGAGTAATCTTCTTTTTCTGTATTTGTCAGGGTACAACCTGCCACCAGAGCATGAGACCACAGAACCCCGAATTGTTACCCACTTCTCTATGTGCTGTAAATGTTAATTATTAACTATCCTGTATCCACCAGTGTAAAAGAAGTATCTGTCTCCCTTTTTCCTTTTCATCCAATCTCAGAGCTTTCCCCTTTGCTTTCTCTCACTCCCTCAATCTACCACCAGTAGATTTCTTGTAACCCTCTTTATGTCTTTTCCTTTGATTCTCATGTATAAAATAAGCTGCAAAACCGCTGTTCTCCAGAGCATTTTCTCAATCTGTTGATATTTTGCTTCTCAGTAATTGTCAGTTTGGCTCAAATAATTATAACAATTCTCTACAGGTTTGGACATTTCTTACAACGACAGCCTTGTTATATAGCAATCTTTGGTTCAATGTCTATAGATTAGGGGTTGGCAAACTTTACCCATTGTATTTTGTCCATGGCCTGGTTTTGTATAATCCCTGAACTAAAAATGATTTTTGCATTTTTAAAAGGTTATAAAAAAGTATGCAAATATACAAAATGTTCTCTACCATTCTTGGTCCACAAAGCCTAAAATATTAGCCAGCATTTTCTGTCTATAAAATTTAACCAGGTAATGCTTTTGAACTTTGTTTTTAAATAAGTTAAAATACTTTTTTTCTGTATCTTTTAAAGCTGGTTTATTGCAGCCTCCTGTCCGTATAGTTTCACAGCCACAACCGGCACGCCGGTTAGATCCACCATCCAGATTTTCAGGAAGGAATGACAGAGGAGATCAAGTGCCTAACAGAAAAGATGACCGAAGGTAAGTTTTTAAAAGTATACTTTTGTTGGTTGCACAATGTGAATGCACTTCATGCCACTTAAAAATAGTTCAGATGGTAAGTTTATGTTATGTGTATTTTACCACAATTTGAAAAACTATTTAAAGATCTATACTGTGGATTCTTGCTCATAATTTCTATTGTTATTTCATGAAAGAACTCTTGGATAATGCCAGAAATATTAGTAATTTCAGAAAAATTTGCTTTCAGTCGTGAAAGGGAGAGAGAAAGACGTAGATCCAGAGAAAGATCTCCTCAGAGAAAACGTTCCCGGGAGAGATCTCCTCGAAGAGAGAGAGAACGATCACCTCGGAGAGTTCGCCGTGTTGTTCCACGTTACACAGTTCAGTTTTCAAAGTTTTCTTTAGATTGGTAAGTTAATTTTTTCCCTAGTTGTTTTATTGAATTACTAGTTTTGTAATTTTGTATAGTTTGGTAGAATGTATTACATAGAGATATTTTTCTTGCAGCTTTTAATTTCCCAACATTTAGTGCTCATGGGTTATATAAGGGCAGAAATGTAATTTGAAGTAGCAGTTTAGTTCTTTGCAAGTGTCGCATTGTTTTCATATACTCATTGAAGATATCAGCTACTGAAAAGGGCAGCCCTTCTGTGATTAAGTTATTCCTTAAAGTCAGAATTATTTAAGATCTGATTTATTGATGACTATTAAAGTTCATGCATAGTCTGTTGTGTATGATGCAGTAATAATACAACAGTGGATCAAACATCCCAAGTTAGCTATGGCAATGTGGTGTAAGAGAAACATAGATATACATATATACTCACATATAACAAACACGTGTGTATGTATACATAAATACATTTTTCAGTCTTTGGAATCAGAAATAATAGGCAAGTTACCAAGAATTTCTGAGCTTCACCTGCAAAGTTGGAATTATATCAATTAACAGAATTATTGTGAGATTGAGTTCATTTATCTAAAGCAACAATATGTGGTATTTGTAGATATCTTGTAAATAGCTGCTAAGTTGTAATTCATAAAAAGGCAAATTGTGGGGAAAAGGCAAATTGGTAAATGACTGAAATTACTCTAAGGTAAAGGAAGAATCATCTAAAGAACCTGGGACTGGCAATTGTGTATATGATAAATTAACACATGGAAAAAAAATAAGTAGACAGTAAAATAAAAATGAATCCTTTAAAGCAGCACTTAAAGCTGTTTCACATAGGAACAAATAACTATGCACTTCAGTATACTGAGAGGGTATTGCTGCATTTCAACAAAGTGTGATGATAATAATAATATTGGCCTATCAAAAGTTAAAATTTCTATATGTTCAGTTCTAGACTGAGTAAACCAGTGTATTTCATTTAAGCTACTCAATGTCAAAAAAGTCTTGCTTGGTTACTTTGCTTAATTATGTAGTTGGTGTTCATTTACTCTTGGCTAATGGTCAAGTCTGCAACTACTCTTAATTTATACTAGTTTTCTTGTTACCCTGTTTACTTGTGTACTTAAAAAAATACCTAATCTTCATGTTTCAGAAAAACTTTTTAGAACCAAACAACTTCTCCAGCCCAAAGATATTAAATAGAGCTGCTCTGCTTTTAAACTCATCTGTTCCCAGTCTAGAATGCTATTCTGGGAAGAGTTGATGCATTGGATATAAATTGAACAGCTATCTCTCTCCTTTCAAGTTAGACCTTTACAGTTTTACTTCATCACTTTGAAGTTATTCCCAGAACATCAAATGAACCCATTACAAATAAAAGTGATTTTAAAGTTTCTGTACCTCTTCTCATAGTTGTAGAAATCAAGATTTTCTTATAGTGATATTATTATAAGAGACTATATGCCAAGAAATGATTTATTTGTATTTCTTATCTCTTGTTTTATTATAGATTTTATTTCTGTGGGTTAAGATACAGATTCAAAAATTCTGGTGATGGGAAGCTAGGAAGCTATTACATATACTTTCTATTTGCAGCACTTTAAAAACAAAATTCAAATACCTGTTATTCACATTTTCATTATTTTGACAGCAGAATTTTATCCAAATAAAGTATACTTATATCAGTATTCATAACTGGCAAGTTTATCATTCTATATTTATTATTTTTAGGCTTCAAATAAAAAAGACATCTCTAAAAATGCATTAGTTAACATTTTATCCCCTTGGTTTTAGTTGTCTTTAAAAAAGACAATATAATTATCATTTCATCTTCCAAATTGTTGGTGTTTCCACTTTTCATTATGCTTTTAACAGAAATCTCTTGGCTTTTTACCAGATTGATTTACCTTTGAAAACTCTGCTTCTTAGGAAAAAGGAAATCATCCTTTAAAAAAAAATCAGTATGCCATATTTAAAAGGCAAGAAACTTATCTTTGCATAATAAGCAAATCAGGTATGGATCTTAATCATAGAGAGGTATGGAGGTGTGGATAATCCAAAAAACATTTGGATTTTGCTTTCCTGTGCACTTTTATGTTTAATTTTGAATGTAAATATTCTTGACCTAGGATCTTATATAGAATAAAAGTTGTATTTTTTTTCTACACTGTATAAAACTGGTTGAGGAGCATTCATACTAATTTGATACCACTTTTATCCCTTCTTTGTATCCATTCTATATGAATCATAATTTTCTCAAAAGTACACAGTTTGAATCGAGGCAGAACTGCTTTTGTTCAGATCTTCTCTGGAGCTGGGGTTGAAGTTATTTCAAAGGGTCTTCTCTAATGAATTTTAAGCTACACACAAAAAGTAAAGAAAGGTAACATTTAGATACTAGTTATTTATTCAAAGCTGTAAGTAAACTATTTGAAAATGAGATTTTCATATACCTCTATGTACATCGTTAGCTCATTAAATAATTGACTATCCATTTGCTGCTGGCTTTTAACCATGTCAGATTATATATTTAGCTTCAGAATGGGTGAATGTTTATATAATCTTTGATATTAAGGCTATTTATTCACTACTTATGTCTGTCTTTCAGTCCTAGTTGTGACATGATGGAACTAAGGCGCCGTTATCAGAATTTATATATACCTAGTGACTTTTTTGATGCTCAGTTTACATGGGTGGATGCTTTCCCTTTGTCAAGACCATTTCAGCTGGGAAATTACTGCAATTTCTATGTAATGCACAGAGAAGTAGAGTCCTTAGAAAAAAACATGGCCATTCTTGATCCACCAGATGCTGACCACTTATACAGCGCAAAGGTTTGTGTTCTATTGTGATATACTGCTGAAATTTTTGAGCAGTTATTTGTATTGAGTCTATATGCGGAGCTAATCTTCAGCACATGGTTATTAGGTTTAATACCTGTGTTTTGTTCTTGTCTGCCTGATTCTGTTTTGGTTATTTAGGTAATTTAATTTAATTTTTCTTTGCCTTACCTCTTAAATTATAAAATCATAGTTATCATTTTAACATTTTAAACATCATAAAAACATGAAGGTGAAATTAATGTAATGAACTTTTTGTAATGTTCTATGACTTCAGGTAGACCCAGAGGAAAATACAGTGGTGAATGAATGTACTATATGGTAGTTCGCAGGGTAACGTTCAGTTATTACTCTGGTCTGTAATGGTCTGCTATTTTTAAAACATTGATCAAAAAGTTTCCTTTGAAAAGTTAAAACTGTGTAATTATAAAGTATTTAATACCATATTCGCTATAGCATTTTACTTTCCATTTTTATAAAAAAATTTCAGGTGTCTAATATGTAAGGATAATTAGTGGTGCTTCTCATTTTTTTACATTAGACTTTTGACAGGATTGAATTATTTGACTATAATAGGTAATGCTGATGGCTAGCCCTAGTATGGAAGATTTGTATCATAAGTCATGTGCTCTTGCTGAAGACCCACAAGAACTTCGAGATGGATTTCAACATCCTGCTAGACTTGTTAAGGTAAAATGAAACATTTACTTTAACTGTAGGTGTATATTTGTTGTGCTTGATTCAAACTGTATGTATATAAAATAAAAAACACTACCTTTTAAATCTTTTGATAAGTTTAATTTTTGTATTAAGGCACTCAGAATTTAATGATGTGTAGTTGCTTTTTTCATTGCAGATTATGTTTATATCTTATTCGTATGTCTCTACTTCAACTGTTATTTTGATGTTTTATATTTGTAATATAGAAAAATCTTAGTGATAATGGATTTAGTGTATCTTTGGGTGCTTTTAAAGTCTGAATTATAGCTTGCTTCTTTAAAAGAACTCTTTATCTGAAGAAATATTTTAGAAGGATGAGTTATGATGTGTAAATCCTATTCCATTGCTGAAATGCAGTGTGGAACATGATGAACTGAACTCTTCCTTGACTGACAGATACCAGAGGTAGTAAAAATGATATTGGAAAGGTTTGTACCTTTCCTTTTCAAGTATTTTATTTGTAATTTGATGTTGCATAATATATATAAATGATTCTTTGTTTTGAATTAGTTTTTAGTGGGCATGAAAGGCAAGGATGAAGCCATGGCCATTGGAGGCCACTGGTCTCCTTCGTTGGATGGACCAGACCCAGAAAAAGACCCCTCTGTGTTGATTAAGACTGCTATTCGTTGTTGTAAGGCTCTGACAGGCATTGATCTAAGTGTATGCACACAATGGTAAGTACCAATTCATTTCTTGATTAGAAATGTTTTTCTAATAGTTTATGTAGTTTTTCTAATAGTTTGTCTGTCAGCCCCCTTACCCCCCCTTATTTTAAGCAACCTTGATCGTGCAGGTAATCTCAAAGGAAAAATCCCCATTTGTAGCAAAAGTTTATTTGGTGCCAAAAATGTTTTGGGGAAAAGGATTAAGAACTAATCAAAATAAACTGAAAATATAAATGTTTTGTTATGCTGTACTTTGGAAGTTGGATGTATGTTGAAAATACTTTTCATTTCATGCATAGCTGGAGAAGATCGTCAAGAGAACTTCATTTCATTATAATTCTTTTGTTATAAAATGATGTAGTTGCTGATTATTTTTGTTCAGCCATATTTTCTCTTGAGGCTTATTTGACCTGTGTATTTTAGTATATTGCTTGTGACTTAATTGAGAATTTTTTTTTTAGCACATGAAATCTGAACAGCTATCCAGCTTCTTCAGGTATTCTCTAAAATATGGGTAGCTCTGTAATCAAACTTGAAAATGCCTTGGGGAACATATTCTTCTTTTAACTATAAGTATTATACAAATGTACCAAAAGAGGAACTATGGCTTCTATAATTTTTTTTTCTTTAGACCAACCTCAAGTTCTTGCAGCAAAATTTCTTTACTTGATGTGCTACAAGTGAACTAGGGTCTTTAAAATGTATTTTAGAATTTTTTTTCCAACATGCTTCTTCCCTTGCAACAGGTACCGTTTTGCAGAGATTCGCTACCATCGCCCTGAGGAGACCCACAAGGGGCGTACAGTTCCAGCTCATGTGGAGACAGTGGTTTTATTTTTCCCGGATGTTTGGCATTGCCTTCCCACCCGCTCAGAGTGGGAAACCCTCTCCCGAGGATACAAGCAGCAGCTGGTCGAGAAGCTTCAGGGTGAACGCAAGGAGGCTGATGGAGAACAGGCACTGAACGCTAATCCCTTTTTCTATTTCCGCTTCTCACAGGCACAGGAACACAGGCACAAATGCACACCACACACTACATAACAAACACACATGGAGGAACATAACTGTTAACAGCGACTGGTAATCCAGCTTTCAGCAGTATAGTTGTATGTTCTTTTTTGTTTAAAAAAAAAATCTGTCTATTCTAATTTTAAAGAGTGCTGAGACCTCAAAGGAAAATAAGTTGTGCTTAAATTGCACAGAATTTTGTTTTTATCATAGGTCTAGTTGCTGGAATCTGGGACCAGTTGTTGAGCAAGATTCAGTATTAAGCCATTTAAACATTTTGCCATTTTCTAAAATTTAAAAAATTTTCTCTTTCACGGTCATCAGTTCTAGTCATGGATATTTGAAATTGGACAACCACAAGTCTGAGATTTGAAATTTCAGGCTATGTGGCATCGTCTTTGGTACATTTGAAAGGTCTTACTAAATCAGTCTTGACTTTGGGTGGCTTGAAAATTGGGGCAAGATCACACACTGTGTGGTTAGTGGAGACCGGCAGTGTTTGTGCATCCCTGATATCCTTTGTGTTGTAATTTATCACCCTTTTGTGTTTCACAGATCTGGCTTTGATTGGCTGATGAGTGTCTTTGTGATCAATTAAAAGTGGTAGAATGTATGTACGTGGACTTGCTTAAATAATAACTTTAGGAGAAGACAATCTGAAACATTTGTGACCTTGCACAGATCAGCAACAGACTTTTAAAAATAAATTACCTTTATTTTAAGGTTTCAGAATAGTAATTATGTTCTTAACTTTGTGTATCAGGATGAAGAAGAGAAGGATGATGGTGAAGCTAAAGAAATTTCCACTCCTACCCATTGGTCTAAACTTGATCCAAAGACAATGAAGGTAACTTTGAAAAAGATAGTATTTAATTTAAAATCTCTGAACAGGGGTAGAGAATGGGGACAGTGTTTTGTGTTTTTTCAGATAAGAGCCATTAAAAACGAAGTCCATTGATTTTGCATATTCTATATTGTATTTGTGTATATAAAAATTAAGTAAAAGAGGATGTCATAAATCAGTTTAGCCAATGTTTGTTGAATGCAATATACAAGTGCCTGTGGTGTGAGCAACGTTTTCTGATTTGGGAACTGGTCAAGAAGGCAGAATTTCTGCACTTAAGTAACTTAAAGGAGAAGGGAAGAAACATAGAGAAAAGATCCAGTTTTTAAAGTAAAATTTAGAATTAAAAAGTGGATTGATACTACATCTGAGCTGTATTGATAATACATAAGAGCCTCTTTTGAAAACCTTTGGTTTTGTTTGTTTTACTTCCCCCTTCCCCATCTCAACCTATTATTTTCCTATAGTTTTGCACTTCTGGGCCCATAATATGAATGTAGATCCATGGATTCTACATGTATACATTCTGCATAGATAAGAAGATCGGAGGCTGATCATTACTCGATTCTGCTGTTTATTTAACACAAAAACTGACGTTTTGATTAACTTCTGTTCTCAGCCAAAAAAAAGTTTTTCTTTTTTATGAAACTAGATTTTTAACTCACATTGCTATTTTTAATAATTAGAGAGAATGTATCTTATAAGAATGTTTGTTATTCCTGCATTATTTCAAGTAGTCACGATCAACATCATATTTCATGTAGAGTCCATAGGTTCAAAAAAATAAATAGGTTAAGCCTGCATCCCAGGACTTTTAGTTAAAGGATGGCTTTTCTATTAAGTTTCTTATTTTAAAACTTGTATTTCTTTTGATTATAAATGTAATGCATATTTATTTTAAAAATTGTTACATACTTACAAGAAAAAATAACTGAAGCCTGTCACACAAACACAACCACTTAAAATTTTTACATATTCCATTATTTTTTTCTGAGTAAAAGTATTGTGATTGGTTGGTTGGTTCTAATGTATCAAAAAGTTACTATCTCGTCTTTTTCAATTAATATTAATGTTTCTCATGTAATTATTTTTAATTTCTCTATACTGTTCCATCTAGTTGATGTACTTTTTCTTAGATATTACTCATATTGGATATTTAGATTCTCCACTTTTTTGCTGGGAGTGACTATTAAAAAGAATGTGTAAATGTTTTTTTTTCTGTGTTTAGGATTTTTTTTTTTTTAGAGTAAATTCCCAGAGATGAGAATTACTGGTTCAGAGCATTAACTATTTTTAAGCATCTTAAAACATCATAAATTATTTTTTAAAGTCTATCAGTTTGCATTTTTACAAACATTTTTATGAGCTGTATAAGTACCCCTTTCACCAACGTTTTAAAAATCAGAGAGAAGATAATTGCATTTTGTTTCCTATTTCAGTATCCCATTTTCTTCTCCTATGTATATTTAGGTAAATGATCTCCGAAAGGAATTAGAAAGTCGAGCCCTTAGTTCCAAAGGGTTAAAATCCCAGTTAATAGCCCGCCTGACAAAACAACTTAAAGTAGAAGAGCAAAAAGAAGAACAAAAGGAATTAGAGAAATCTGAAAAAGAAGATGAAGAGGAGGATGATAGGAAATCTGAAGATGATAAAGAGGTATGTATATACTAAATTGTTTAAATATACTATTCAGTATAATACTGGTTTATAGGGAGTTCTTAGAGTATGTATGGTGTACTTTTATTAAGATATAATTTGCGTGACAGTAAAATTCAGTCTTTTTAGTAAACAAACAGTTCTGTAAGTTTTGACAAATGCATATAGTCATGTAACCACCACCATGTATTTTTATTTTTGGAAATGAATAATTAATTATTCATGTTTTAGATATAGAAAATGAGACAAAATTTGGTGGGCAGACAGAGCCTTTAAGTTCAGAGATCGAGTTCTGGTGTGAAGTGTTCCAGAATTTTGCTGCTTCTGAAGCTATATGTTTGATTGCATCTGAATCCTTAAGACTCGGAGACTGTTTTAATGCCCGATAGAATAACCCCTGGATGTATAGACCTGTCATTTGTTTTCTGAATTTGAAATATAAGGATATGAGAAGTGTGTTTTAGCACCATTTGTTGGATAGACCAACATAATGTTTTTTTCTAATGCAATGTGTTATGAAGTATATACTGTTATTTATATAGTATTCATGCCAGAAATGTTTACTTTTTAATCTAATTTTGAGAAAACAATCAGATAAATTTAGAATATGAAAAATTCTACTTAAAAAATAGTAACTTATCTGAACTTTAAAAACAATGTCCGTTTAATGAAAGACAAAAACTATTTAGATTAAAAGTTGGTGAGACATGACAACTGAATGCACTGATTGAAACTTGACCGGATCCTAGATAGGGAAAAACATAGCCATAAAGAGTATTTTAGGATAATTAGAGAAATTTGATAATATATATAGATGTGATATTAGATAATATTGAACCAATGTTAAATTTCTGGGATTATGTAAGAGATTAACCTTAAGAAATGCATGGACTCATATTTTATTCAATAGGTTATAAATATTTTTCGATAATGAAATTGTTCAGAGTTGGCCACTGGGAGCCCTTTCAAGTTGGCTTCTGTGCCCTTTGACATATCCTCATCAATTTTTGAGGACTTCCTTATTTTGCAGCACTGTGTACTATACCTTTCACTGTGTACTATACCTGCCCTAGCTCTGGAATCAGCTATTTCCCCTTGGGAAAGCCCTGCCTGGTACTTTATGTATATTGAAAGTCAGGAATTTATACTAATATCTCTAATTTCACAGAGTTCATTCTAGTTTTCTCTCTTTCCATATATCTAACGTCTTTCTTCAAGAACGAGAAATGTAGTTTCCATTATACTTAATATATTTGCTTACTACAAGCTCAGTTGTCCAATGCACTCCATTTCCAATCTAGATACTTACTATACCCTCCTTATTCTACTTTGGTCCGACTCCCTACCCTCTGTTGTTTCTTTGTATGGATGCCCTCCTGGCTCTATTTGGGTTTCTTTACCTGGAAACTGGGCAGCTCATGTGCCTGAACCATTGTTGCTCTCCCTTCCTGCCAGCCTCCATCCCTTGTATAGACATCTGCTTTGCTTGGAGTTGTGCTTTAGAACTGAACTGTTCAGGACAGGAAGAGTAGAAAGAGGAGACAAGGAAGAACCAGTTCTTACTTTTTGATATTAGTGGCCATTGGTGTTCAAATCCTTTGTTGATTCATTTGGGTTGAAAAACAGTGATACTGTATTTCTTATCATTTTATTTTCACATATTCCCCCTCATTTGCTATTTAAATACCCAGTGATACAGTTTTTAAATGTATATACAGTTATTTCTCAGTATCCATTGTTTTCTCAATATCCATTGGGGATTGGTTCCAGGATCCACACAGATAACGAAATCCACGGATGCTCAAGTCTCATATAAGATGGCGTACTCTTTGCATATAATCTGTATTTGCAGATAGGCTACAGCAGGGTATTGCTTCATTAGAGTGTATTCAGCATAATGCTTGGCACATAACAAATTTAAGTTTTGCTTTTTGGAAGTTTCTGGGATTTTTTTCCCCTGGAATATTTTTGATCCACAGTTGGTTGAATCTAGGGATACAAAACCTACGGATGCAAAACTCATGGAGACAAAGGGCCTACTGTCGAAGGCAGAATTGGTGTTTGGTTCTTTTTTTTTTTCTTTTTTTTTTAAAATATGAAACACTTCATGAATTTTCATCATCCTTATGCAGGGGCAATGAGGATGTGTCGTTCTAATTTTGGTATATGTGCTACTGAAGCAAGTACTATTTTTGTTTGTCCAGTTTTCAATATAATAAATAGGTTTCCTGCCATCTTCAGATCATTACATGTTTGTTTTTGAATATCATTAAGAATTTATGAATTTAATCATATTTAAATGAGTTTTAATTTTTTTTCAATTCTTATTATTGAAGCTCAGATTACCCTGGTTTTTTGCCAGTGGGTGAGAATATATTTACAGATACAGAATAATAGTACCATCATCAAGATTATTGCAGAAGTTAATATAAAAATATTCTTGTATTTTTTATCCCTGTTTTCTCCTTAACCATTTTTATGTTACACAATTACATTGTTTTAGCATATAGCAGTACATACTGTACTCTCATTTAATCCTCATTTAATCTTGGTTCTACAAGTAAGTATCTAATGCTTACCACTAAGCCTTTTGTCATTGTTTCTGAAGCTCATCTCTCATTGTCTCTGGCTTCTCTCACTTAGCATAATGTTTTCAAGGTTCAGCTATGTTGTAGTATGTATAATGTTCCATTGTGTGTATATACATTTTATTTATCCATTCATCTGTTGATGGACACTTGGATTGTTTTCATCTCTCAGCTATTGTGGATATTGCTATAAATAAGCAAGTGTTCTTAAATAATATATTTTTGTATTCTGCTCCCTTGCTTGTGCTTTAAGGAATTTTGTTATCTCATACTGAACCTTGTTGCTTTCTCAATATTAACCTTTTTTTCCTTCAATTGTTTTCATTTGATTTTTAAATTTTCCTGATTTCTGTTCTCTTAAGGTATTAGTTCTGTATTTATTTGCTTTTGTATTGTTTCCAGTTTTACTCTTAAATTTCTGAAACTTATTTTTTCTAATTGTTTCCTGAATGTTAGCACCTCATTTTTTATTCATATTCTTCTTTCATGTCTTGTAACAATTTCCTAATGTCTTTTAGCACACTTTAAAATAGAAGTTAGAATTTTTATGTCTTTTACTCACTTTCATTGCCTGTAGGGATGTAATTCTGCTCCTTGTTCTCTTTTTTTAAATAGTAACTTTGTGTGGAATTTGACCTCAATACTTTTCTGTTGCTCATTTTATGTGAATTTAGTTTGCCTAAAATTGTATTGGAAGGGGGTTGCTTGGGATAGCTCTTCTTACTTCACAGAGCTCTGTTGTTTTCTTGTTTTGTCAAAAATATGGTGGCTTGCTTTCTGAGATTTCTATCTTCTCTTGCTCTCTATAGCTTTTATCTGGACCTTCTCTCATATCTCTGTTGTCACTGTCCTGCTCACTATTGGTTCTACTCCCAGAAGTTTCTCCTCGGTGTGGGGCCCTGTGCTGGAAGGATGCCCTGGTAAATCAGTTTTGCAAGTTCCTGGGGCTAGAATATTATAGGCCCTCGTAGGTGTTAACATGGACCCTTTATACACACTATTATTGGAGGTAGAACCTTGCCCAGTTTTAGCTGCTACTGTTATACTGACCTGCCACACTTTCCAGTGAATGCCTATTGATTTACTGTTTTTTTTTCCTATTAATTATTTTGTGATTTTCCTCCTCTTAGATCCATCAGACCACCACCCCATTGCCTCTTTCTACTTTCTCCCCAACACAGACACCAGTAACACATAGATCTTTTAGTTCTTGTGGCTTTTTCCTACTCATTTGTACATTGGGGATTATGGAGATATCTTGTTACCTTGTTTTGTTGTGAATGTATATGGATTTTGGTTTTTGTATCTAGATTTCTGTCTCTCTTTAATGTGAAGATTCAGGAAGATCCAGAAATTATGGTACCACCATTTTCTCAGAATTCCCTTGTTTATATAACATTTACATAGGTTTTTCTTTTTTCCTCTTTAGAAGGCAGTTTCTTATACTGGGAAATCTAAAGAAAATTAGGAGCCATAAAAATTACTATCCTCTTTAGTCAGTTTGACCTCTTCTCCCTTCTCAGCCTTATGGTTGGTATAATCACCAAAAGGAGTCACATGAATTTTTTCTTTACGTGGTATACATTAGATTACAGTTGACCATTGATCAACGCTGGAGATAGGGGTGCGAACACCTGCTCAGTCAGAAGTTTAAATGCAACTTCTGGCTCCCCAAAATTAACTGCCCTCTGTATCTGTGGGAGATTAGTTCCAGGAACCACTGCAGATTCCAAAATCCACGAGTGCTTAGGTCTCCTATATAAAATAGGTTAGATGAATGCATACAGTCGGCTCTTTGCATTCGTAGACTTGCAGCCACAGATCAAAAACATTGCAAGTACTTATTGAAAAAAATGTTTATATAAGTGGACCTGTGAAGTTCAAACTTGTATTGATCAAGGGTCAACTGTATGTACGTATTATACATGGAGGTTTAACCTTTACTTAAAATTTCAAATAATCTAGGAAGAAGAAAGAAAACGTCAAGAAGAAATGGAACGCCAGCGTCGAGAAAGAAGATATATTTTGCCTGACGAACCAGCCATTATTGTACATCCAAATTGGGCTGCAAAAAGTGGCAAGTTTGATTGTAGCATCATGTCTTTGAGTGTACTTTTGGACTACAGATTAGAGGATAATAAAGAACATTCATTTGAGGTAATGTTTTAACTTTGAATTGGGAACTAAATGAAGGCCACACATTTTGATTGGGTAATATATATCTTAAGTTTCTTTGAGTGCCTCTTTTATTGTTTCTGTTTTTTGTTTATTTTTATTTTTTTATTTTTTTCCTTGCAATTTTTTTGGTGGGGGAGACTGACTCCTGCAGACTCACTTTTGCTGATTGCCTTCTGTGGTATGATTTAAATGTTCCTCTGGCCTCTATTTCCTGTAAATGGATAGTTGAATCTAAAGTCTTAATCAGGTTCAGATTCAATTATATTTTTTTTCATAAGACTACTTCACACGTAGTAATGTATTCTTTTAGCAGAATATCAGGAGATATATGATACATAATGTTTAATTGCCTCTTTTAGAAGTGAGATAATGGTTTATTACTTTAGAATTAAAATACAAATTAATGGGCTCAAAAATTTTTGTGATTGATTGAATTATAAGGTAAAATAATTGATGTTTATTTTTTCAACACGAATCTGTTTTTTGTACTATTTTAAAGGAGCTTTACAACATATAGCTTGGCATTTTCCAAAAACAATTGAAGACTTTTATCCCTAAATAAATGATTGCTTTATTTTTTGAATAAAACAATGTAAACTATCCCAACATATTAATTTTGTAATAACTTGAACAAAATTATACTTATGTTTAATTATTGTATCTTAGTGACATATCTCACTTTTTTTAGTTTATAAATTATGTTGCAAACATTAGTCATACTTACTTGACCCAAGAAGTCATTGACTATCAAATGATAAAATGAAAATGAAATAAAATACTTAGACTAGAGAGTTGCAAACAGAGGATTCCTGGCAGTTAGAACATGTAAGATGCATGCAAATGTCTTGATATAAAATATGTTACAAGTATTACAAGTCTTAAATATTTACAATTTTTGATACATTAATGCCAGTAAGGTAGTATCTTTAAACATTATATACTATATGATTTTATTTGTATTACCAGTTGCCATGAATTTAACTTGGTAGTACCTACCATGTAGTAGTCATTCAGGATTTAAGTATATGAAAAAAAATATTCTCTGGTATTACTTACTGCTTGTAAAGTATATACTGTATATTTGACCGACGCTATAGGAGGATCTCAAATTAATGCTGCTGTAGTAGAAAGAAAACGATTTCAAAACAGCCTTTTGCTAACAAAATGATTCTTTATTTTTTTCTTCTCCACCTAACATATCCCCTTCATTAGTTTCCTTCTAACCTATCATTAGGATGCAGAAATTATTTTTTTTCCCCTCTCTTTAATTCCCCCTCCTCTACCCACTTCCACCCCTGACCTATGGATGTTGCTGTTTCCCCTTAAGAACTGGATCTCGAAGGCGGGGCGTCCCCTCCCACACGCTCACAGTGTGCAGCCGGGGCCTGGCGCACCTGGGCCTGGCACCCTCGGCATACTCGGGGGCCTGGTGCACCCAGGCTATGGTCTGTGGCTCCACCTGGGGCGCAAACCTAGGACCTTCTTCTGGGTGTAAAGCAGATGTGCTAACCACTACACTATGGAGTCACCTCCTGAATGCAGAAGTTATTTTGATACATGAGTTAAAAAAAATTTGTAAGAAAAAGCATATATTATTAACATTATAAATTTGGGGCTGATTTAATTAATGCTAGATGTATCTTTGTCTTTCAGTGCTTGTAAATGAAAAGATGCAGAATTAATTCTTCTCTTCTAGTTACTGTTCTAGATTTTTTCCATTCTAACATTTTAACTATTGCTTTTTATCTCTAGGTGATAAAAAACTCTAAAGAAAAGATATTCCTCTTGCAATTTATTTACACAGATTTTGTTTAGTTTATATTAATGGTTAAGATAAAGTGAAATTTTTAACATCTTTAATGGTCATTTTACTGATAATAGATTTTTTTTATTTAAAATGTGTAAAGACAACATGAATTGAAGAAAAATAAATTATAACATCAGTTATAACATGAATATATTGTATTATTCTTTATGATGGGGAAAACAGTCTGTTTTACCAAATACACTGAACAGATTGCCAAAGATTATGTATTTTACATTTCATGTTAATCTGTTGAAAGCAGTTAACCTTAGAAATATTTACATAGAAAATTTCGAGTATAATTTTAGGTTCATGAGTATGTTAACAGTCATTATCCATGGATCCTTGCATAATAGTAATGAAAATGTGTGCTTCCTACTCAGAATTTTGAATTGGTTTCCCCTGCCCAAATCTCTTCTAATATCTATATTGACATTTCCTTGCTACCTTCAGGTCACTTTTCAAATGTCACCTGATTAAAGAGGTCTTCTCTGATTACTTTCTTGTTACTTTCTATGCTTTCATCCTGCTTGTTTTCTTATAATTTGTTGTTGATTTGGTATATCATACTTTTCCCCACTATATTGTTAGCTCATAAGAGTCAGGATTTTTATCTACTTTCTTCACTGCTATAACAGTGCATAGAACAGTCCCTGGTTCTAGACATTTCACTAAAACTATTAAATAAATAAAGTACATTTACCATCAAGATTAATTTGTGTAAGGTAGTAGAAATATTTCCGCTGATTTTCATATTTTCTATAGTACAGTGTATTTTTCATATTTGACCAAAAGTATACAAAACATAGTATTTATATCTGCAGAAGGAATTTTGAGGATTTTGAGGCTTCTGAATATCATTGACATCAGTTATTATAAATTTGTTGTTAGTCACGTTGTTAGATATTGCAAATTATTATATGATAAATTACCAATTGTCCTGGATTATTTTCACTGTTTCTATTAAAGATGTTTGGGTTACTGTTGGTCTCTTTTCATAGGTGTCATTGTTTGCAGAACTTTTCAATGAAATGCTTCAAAGAGATTTTGGTGTCAGAATATACAAATCATTATTATCTCTTCCTGAGAAAGAGGACAAAAAGGAAAAGGAAAAGAAAAGTAAAAAAGATGAGAGAAAAGATAAAAAAGAAGAAAGAGATGATGAAACTGATGAGCCAAAACCCAAACGGAGAAAATCAGGCGATGATAAAGATAAAAAAGAAGATAGAGATGAAAGGAAGGTCCGTAATTATCTGTGACCAGCAACCTAATTTAGAAGTTTTTGATTAGTCTTGTAGAGTGTAACTAATAGTGAATAGTGAAACGTAAAGGCCAAACTAAAAGGTTTTAGTGTATTAGAATTTAAGTCTTTGAATTAAAGTCCATGTGAAAATCTATAACTAGTTTTATGGTAAATTTTTTTTAGTTTAAGCCGCACAGCACGATGATTTGATTTACATATATTGTGAGTGGCAGTTTACTCTCAAAGAGTATTATTGTTACAATAAACTTATAATGTGATTCTATTTCAACTAAATTTGGTGGATTTAGTTGTTTTTGAGTTTTGTTGTTTGGTGAGATACCTTGCTTAATTTTAAGACATTTTAAATTACAGAAAGATGATAAAAGAAAAGATGATTCTAAAGATGATGATGAAACTGAAGAAGATAATAATCAGGATGAGTATGATCCAATGGAAGCTGAAGAAGCTGAGGATGAAGAAGATGGTATGATTCAAATTTATTTCTTAGGATGAAAATACATTTTTTTGTTTAGTGACTTTGTATCACTGAAGTCTATACTTTTAATATTTTTTGTTTTTTGAATAGAAATAGTAAAATATTCTGTTAAGTAATTGTTTTTTTTTTTTAGGTAACAGAATTAAGACATGTTTAATTGTATCATATGTCCCATTTGTAATTAATACTTACCCAACTTGGGGAAAGAAATTTCCCTGAACATGGTGCTTAATAATAAATACCCATCTACCTATCATTCAGATTACTTTGCTTGCAGTAGATAACTTCGCCGGTCGTAGATGCCAGCCATAAAATACCGGTAAAGTTCCACTGCGTACTTGTCAGTTTTCTGGGGTTTTTAAAATAGTTTATTGAGGTTGCAGTACATAACCACAAAACTCACCTATTTGAAGTATACAGTTTAATAATTCTTAGTAACTATAGAATTGTGAAATCATTACCACAATCTAGCTTTACAATATTTGCCTATTTTCTTTTTTTAGTAAAAGTTTTATTGACATATAATTCACATATCATACAGTTAACATATTTAATTAAAAGTATACAACTCAGTGGTTTTTAATATTGACAGAGTTGTACAGCCATCACCATAACCAATTTTAGAATATTTTCACTACCTCAAAAAGAAACCCTGTACTCATTAGCAGTCACTCCCATTTCCCCACAACCTCTTCAGTTCTAGACAACCATTAGCTTTTTGTCTATAGATATTCTGGACATTTCATATAAATGGAATCATACAACACGTGATCTTTTGTGACTGGCTGCTTTTCACTTAGCATAATGTCATCCAGGTGCATGCATGTTTTTAGCAGGTATATTCTCTTTAATATGAAGTGTTTTCTATATTTTTACTGTTCAAGTACAACTTCTTACCTAAAGCGGTCTTTTCCAGAGTGTCCCAAGATATTAACAGGTGTAAGCTTAATAAAGCGTACTAGAGCCAAATAAATTTGGGAAACTTAGGTTAAGCAAAGGTCTGCATGTTTACCACAGAATTTTTTAGCTGCTTAGCTGCTTACATATGTCGTAGATATATGTAATGTTTAGATATATGTATGAAATGTAGATATATGTATGAAATGTTTATGAATACGCTTTGTAGTATCTCAAAGACTTTAATATTTGCATATGATTCATGAAAGGATTATGTATTAGTTTACTAGGGCTCCTATAAAAAGTTCCTCAGTCTGAGTGGCTTAAACAATAGAAATTTATTGTCTCAGTTCTAGAGACCAAAAGTCTAAGATCAAAGAGTCTCTGGTGGGGTTGGTTCCTCCTAAGAGCTGTGAGGGAAGGATCTGTTCCAGAAACCTCTCCTTGGCTTATAGATGGCCATCTTCACCCTGTATCTTCACGTCATCTTCTATCAGCATATCTGTGTCCAAATTTCCTTTTTTTGTAAAGACACCAGTCATTGGATTAGAGCTCATCCTAATTACCTCCTTTTAACTTGTTTACCTCTGTATAGACCCTTTCTCCAAATAAGGTAACATTTTGAGGTACTAGGGAGGGTTAGTGCTTCAGCATATGAATTTTAGGGGATATAATTTAGCCCTTAGCAGATTAATTCTTTAATATTAGCCCCATGACAATTTGGTAATGGTGGTTGACTTGAGGATGATGGCTGAGAGGTCTTGGAAACCTGGGTAGCCTAGGGAAAAGTAAAAGAAAGAACTTTGCTTTTTGCCAGTTGCTTTCTTGTATTTTGAATTTTGCACAAGTTGTATTATATTTTCATAAAAACAAAATATAGTATTCTAATCTAGAAAATAAAGTTAATGTCATGACTTGTATAAATTGTCAAGTATTCTTTTTGATATTTGAATTTTATTAAGACAACTAAAGTATGGATTTCAAGTCATATCTTCCACAGTTACAGATTTACCTTACTGTACTAATTTTTTTTAAAGAATAATTTATCCATCTTTCATCATGAGAAACATGTTAGTGTTAGCACATCTAGCACATCTTTTAGGCCTTCTTAATTATCTCAAGAACGTCTTAATTTCTCATGTAGTATTATTTTGCAATAATCTGTAGTCAGTTTTACTCTGTTGGCTGTTTTTCCTTTTAGCTTTTAGAAAGTATACTTTGCTGTTTTGTTTAAATTTGTATTATAATTTTCAACATTATTTATAAAATTCATTTTTTGCACTATGTCCTTCAGGTATTTATGGAATAAGGTGTTTAATTTGATTCAGTAAAGTCAAGTTTTTCTTCCCTGTAGTCTCTTAATAAATTTCTTCCTAGTCTTATAATTGTTTTTTATAAAATCCAGATCTTTTATTCATATAATATTTCTTTGCTAATGTGTCTTTTGGAATCTAATTAGTAATAGAGTATTTTTGGTTTCTGGTAATCAAAGGTCTATATTAAGGAGTTTTTTGCTGCTGTTGTATTTTATAGATCGAGATGAGGAAGAAATAAACAAACGAGATGACAAAAGAGACATCAACAGGTACTGCAAGGAGAGGCCCTCTAAAGATAAGGTACTTATTGAATCATTTATTTTTTTAAATGTGATAATTTTCCTTTTTTACATAATCTAGACTTACTATTAAACACAACACAGTTATGAAGTTTATTGATCCTTGTATATCGATATATCACCGCTCAGAGCAAAATTCAGTTGTATTTTGATGTTTGCGGTTATGTCGGATGACCAGTGTGTCTTATTCCTTTCTCCCATACACATAAACCATAACAACTTATTTGAGCTAAAATGAGACAAAGGTCTTTTCAGATTTTGCTATTATATGGACATATTCTCAGTTTCTCACTTTTCGGGGGTAAAAATTATATACTATATCTTTCACATTTTCTTTAGGAAAAAGAAAAGACTCAGATGATCACAATTAACAGAGATCTGTTAATGGCATTTGTTTATTTTGATCAAAGCCATTGTGGTTACCTTCTTGAAAAGGATTTGGAAGAAATACTTTATACTCTTGGACTACATCTTTCTCGGGCTCAGGTAATCTGTCTTGTGAATATTTAAAACAAAAAACATTTTTAAGTAACTTTTTAATCTCTGACTTTGTGAAATATAAAAGCAATATAGTATATACGTACTGTATAGTATAGTGTATATATACTAAATATAATTGCAATACTGTCAAGCAGTTCTGAAATGTATAAAGTGAAAAAGTTAAAAGTCTCTCCCTTTAGTTCCCCTCTTCTAGTATCTTTTTGTAAGCAGCTCATATATGATAGTTCTAGTCTTATGAACAACACATTCTATACATAGTGATAGATAACTTTTATCATTTAGCAATCTATCATGGCATCATTCTACCATGAAAATAGAGACCCACCCACTTTGTTCTTTTTATGACTGCATAGTATTCTATGGTATAGATGTACCATAATTACCTTAACTAGTCCCAGTTGCTGGGTGGTTTTTATTTTTTACAATTACAAACCGTGCTGTAATAAGCATCTTCATATATATACTTAAATGTATGTATTAGTGTTTCTGTCTGTTGGACTTGATTTAACAAAAGTTTTTTTCAAATGATAATTTGGATTTTAGGTTTATGAAGAAGACAGTTTAAAGGTTAATTGCTCTAACTTAGTGGGAGTGAATACCTTAGAAAACAGATGCCACTGATGTTCATCACACAGTTGTTCAAAGAGAGTCAAAACTTATTTTCATCTTTTTTATTTGTTTACTTGCTTATATAACAGGTAAAGAAGCTTCTTAATAAAGTAGTACTTCGTGAATCTTGCTTTTACCGTAAACTAACAGACACCTCAAAAGATGAAGAAAACCATGAAGAGTCTGAAGCATTACATGAAGATATGCTAGGTTTGCATATGTTATTTTAAGATTGTGCCATTATATAATAGTATTATTAAGAAAAAAATAATAAAATATGACATCTTTTATATTATAGGAAACAGGTTATTACTTCCAACACCAACAGTGAAACAGGAATCCAAGGATGTGGAAGAAAATGTTGGCCTGATTGTGTATAATGGTGCAATGGTAGATGTAGGAAGCCTCTTGCAAAAATTGGAAAAGAGTGAAAAAGTAAGAGCTGAAGTAGAACAGAAGCTACAGTTACTAGAAGAAAAAACAGGTAAAGAACAGAATGGGATATGTCAGTACTTTTAACACTCTATTGGGATGCATTGTGTATACATACACATATGTACCTATGCATATGGGCATACTTATATCCATGTGTTTTAGTCTAGGCCACAAATTGTAACTTTACTTTTGACCATTTCTGTTAAAGGTTAGAAATTGCTTAGCTTTATAAGAATTAATCTTAGATCTTCATGTGCATTCTCAGATTTTTTTGTTGTTCTATTTTATCCTTTTAATCCTCTTAGTTTTTACCAATTTCTGCTACTTTCTCGAGTTTGTACCATCATCTTAACTGTAGAACCTGGATTTAGATGTAATTCTTAGCTAAAATATCATTTAAATGAAGTGAGTATTGCAGTGTACTTTAATAATTATTGAAATTGACATTTGTGACCATTTTAAAGAATTATATTTTTTTATTTTCTTAGCTTAAGTATTTTTAACTTCAAAATTAAATTGGGTATTTCAAGTTGGTCAATAGTAAATTTTGGATTTTTTTTAACAGATGAAGATGAAAAGACCATATTAAATTTGGAAAATTCCAACAAAAGCCTCTCTGGTGAACTCAGAGAAGTTAAAAAGGACCTTAGTCAGTTACAAGACAACTTAAAGATTTCAGAAAACATGAATTTGCAATTTGAAAACCAACTGAATAAGACAATCAGAAACTTATCCACAGTAATGGATGAAATCCACACTGTTCTCAAGAAGGTTAGCAATTTTATACATTCACCAATTTTTAGTTTCACTTTTTAAATCTGTTTCTGCTAGTTTTAATGTTATTAAGTTCATGGTGGTTTTTCTAGGAGCAAATAATGATAGCATTCTGCCCTTCATCAGATTATTCAAAAGCAAGTCCCAAAAGATTATATTTTTCTGGAACTTAATTGGGATGTCAACATGGGTTGTGTGTACTGATTTTTCAAAGCAAATTTTATTTGTATTTCTTCTTTGAAACCAGAGAGTGAGTTTGAATTTGAGGAAGCTAAAACCATTCACTTCTTTTTTAAACCTGTTTGTTATTGGACAGAATTGAGAATGTCTTTGGCACCGTCAAAATTATTAGTATTTTTTATTACAAAAAAAAAAAATCTAGTAACTCAGTGCCATTGTAAACTAACTTCAGTAATTGAGAGATCT